AGTCAATCTTGGAAAACACTCGGACACCTTGTAACTGATAAAATAGGTCATTAATACGAGGCAAAGGATACCGGTTCTTCACCATAACCATGTTCAACTGGCGATTCATATGCATAGTACCATCCTTTTTCTTCACAAACAAGACAGGAGCACCCCAAGGTGACACACTGGGCCAAATGAAACCCTTATCAAGCAATTCCTGCAACTGTTCCTTCAACTTCTTCAACTCAGGAGGGGCCATACGATAAGGAGGAATAGAGACGGATTGAGTGCCTGGCAACAAATCAATGCCAAAATCAATATCTCTGTTAGGCGGCATGCCCGGAAGATCAACTTGAAACGCATCAGGGAAATCCCTTACTATTGGACTGAATCAGCTGTAGGGGTATCAATATTGACATCTCTCACATAAGCTAGATACGCGTCACACCCCTTCTCAACCGTTCGCTGAGCTTTGAGAAATGAAATAACCCTGCTAGGAGTGTAATCTAAGGTACCCCTATACTCTAATCGCGGTAAACCTGCCCAGCCAGCTCGAGGTGGAGGTCGGGGAGGTAGAGGTTGCCTTAGAGGGCGAGGCCATGCCAGATACTATGTTCTTCCTGCTGGTACAGAGGCTGTTGCTTCCGATTCTATCATTACAGGTATTGTTCCGGTCTGTCAAAGAGATGCATCGGTTCTATTCGATCCAAGCTCCATTTATTCCTATGTGTCCCTTTATTTTTCCCCGTATTTGGGCGTACCTCGGGATTCTTTGAGTTCCCCTGTTTATATGTCTACTCATGTGGGAGATTCTCTTGTTGTGGATCGCGTTTATCGGTCATGTTTGATTTCTCTTCATGGTTTTGAGACCAGAGCTGATTTATTATTGATCAGCATGGTAGATTTTGATGTTATCTTGGGCATGGACTGGTTGTCGCCCCATTATGCTATTCGTGACAGCACCTAGTCTTTATGACTAGGTTAGCCTAATACTGCAGAAATGAAATAGAAACATAAAGATACAACTAACGAATATAGTTAATAAGAAGAAATGATGCCACTCGGCATATAAAATAATCACTTTTCCCAAAACCTGGAATGTCGCAATGTCACAAGCTTCTGAGAGTTTCTAACTGCTCTATGCATTATGTCTGAAATAAACAAGGGGAAATCAAAAAAGAGGATAGAAGGGGACTCCGAGATTTGCAGACGCGGCAGATACACCTTGAAGTCTTCTGAAGCAGCAACCACGCAACTAGACTCGAGGTTGATAGCTAGTACCTGGATCTGCACACGGAAAATATGTGCAGGAAAGGGCATGAGTACACCACAAAAGTACCCAGTAATTGCCAAGCCTAACCTCGGCCGAGCAGTGACGAGATCAGGTCAGGGCCCTACTAGTTTAAATATAAAAAAAATTAACAAAAAGAAATATCGTGGTAAATAAATAAGTACTGAAATTTAACAAGGAAATAAGCATAGAAGAACAACAACTCAGAAACACAAAGGTAACAATAAGGAATCTCCCGGGACATCGTCCCATAGTTCCAAACGTAAATGTGGAGGGGTATCTCCCGAAATACCGTTTCGTAGTCCCAAAGTAAATATGCAGCTCAACAAAAGTAAACAACAGTTACAGCAAGAAAACTACAATTTTATTTAAGTCCAATTCAAGGAAAAGCAAATAATTTCACTAAACATGCTGCGCAGAGTTTAAATAGGTAGTTAAAACACATCGGCATGCTTTCCTAATCTAAACAAGGTAGTACATATGCTAGTGTAGTTCAAACAAGGAGAAAATAGGTCATGACTAAGTGAAAAATGAAGTTTTACCTTAAATAGCCTCTGTACATACTCGTCACCTCACGTACACGGTGTTCATATATCAAACAATACCAAATCCTAAGGGGAGTTTCCCCCACACATGGTTAGGCAAGCCACTTACCTCGAACCAAGCTCAACTCAATCCAAAACAATGCTCGTTCCGCGAATATCCGGCTCCCCGGGCTCACCACTTGGAATCGGGTAAAAGTCACAAATTATGAACACCCATTCTCTCACGAGTCTAACCATACCAAATTCACTCAAATCCGATACCAAATTCTCGATCAAAATCCCAAAATTCGGCCTAAGAACTATTCTCAATTTTTCCCAATTTTTTCACCCCAAATCCAAAATTAAATGATGAAATCAAGCATAGACTAGTGCGATTTAATCATAAAGGAGTTAGGAATCATTACCCAACAACTTCCGCCAAAAACCTCTCCAAATTTTGCCTTCTACCGAGCTCTCAATCAAGTTTTGGAGTTATGAACTCAAACCCTCGTTTTTTAACTTTAAATATGCCCAGTTACGCCCTTCTTCGCGAACACGACCACCACCTCGCGTTCGCGTAGAACAAAAAACCACTGCCCATTTCTCCTCTTTCACGAACGCGTAGCTTCAGCTGCCAGGACCTTCGCGAATGCGACCCCTTATTCACGAACGCGAAGAGCAATTCCTGGGGTCCCAGCTATTCCACCTTTCCTCTTCGCGAATGCGTTCATTTCTTCGCGTTCGATGCTTCCACTGGCCAAACTTCCCGAACGTGAGCTCCCCTTCGCGAACGGGAAGAACAATTACTCTTCATGATCCAGCTCTTCTTCATGAACGCGAGCTCCACTTCACGAACGCGAAGAACAAATGTCTGCAACAGAAAAACCAGCAAAATCTGCTATCCTTCTAAGTCCTAAAAAGACCCGTTGAGCATTCGAAACACACCCGAGGCCCCCGGGACCTCAACCAAACATACCAAACAATCCTAAGACACCATACAAACTTAGTTGAGCCCTCAAATTCCATCAAATAATGCTAAAATCACGAATCACTCTCCATCCAAACTTTAAGAACTTGAAACTTCAAAATTCTACAACTGATGCCCAAACCAACCAAACCACGTCCGATTGACCCCAAACTTTGCACACATGCCATATTCAATACTACGAACTTACTCCAACTTCCGAAATCGGATTCCGACCCCGATATAAAAAAATTCACTACCTGTCCAAAACTCCAAAAATTCGACTTTCGCCATTTTAAGCCTTAATAAGCTACGGACCACCAAAACACAATCCGGACACGCCCTAAGCCCAAAATCACCCAACGGAGCTAATAGAATTGACATAATTTCATGCCAGAACCGTCTTTATACTGTTCCGACTACGGTCCAAATTCTAAGACTTTAGCGCTCATTTATGGACTAAGTGTCTCAAAATACTTCGAAACTCAAAACAAATCTTCCCAACAAGTCCCAATAACAGAAATAGATACGGGAAAGCGGTTAAAGGGGGATCGGGGCTATAACTGTCAAAACAACCTACCGGGTCCTTACATTCAGACTTGTATCTTTCATATTAGATGCTCATGACTTTGTATTTATCAGTTTTGGAAAATTGTTATGTATCGACGATGTTGTTTATGTTAATTGACTTTAGACTTTGTGTTAATTCAGTATTTATATTTTGCTCTTGTTATGCTTGGCTTACCTTGGAAGTGAGTTAGACGCCATCACGATCGATTGGTGGTTTTGGGTCATGACAATCAGAGTCAAACTGTCGTTTTTATCGGTGTTGCTATTTGCGAAGTTGTGATATTTTACAATCTCAATCAAAAAGTATTGTGTATGTTTTCTATAATACTTCTAATAATAATGCCACCATTTTACTATTAAAACTGTATTTTCACCCACCACCTGATGATATTATTCGTGTTAGGTGTGCATGTCTTGTTTATAATTTAACTATTAAAATTGACTTTGATTTATTTTCGACTGAGATTACTCAAGTTATAAGAGCATTTGATGTTATTCAAAGAAATAATAGACAATCAAGGATTATGAAATTTAAGGCTAAGTGTACTGAACATAACCTTACCCCCAGATTCATACCAAATGAAATTATTACTCGGCGGAATTATACATACAAATTCTTAAGATGTTGTTATAAATATAGATTGTGTATAACTAAAGTTCCTAACATGCATTGTAGTGATCCTAATCGTATGTTAACAATTAGTACTTGGGATGCCATTAATGATGTTATTAAATTTTTACATAAATTGTATGTGCTACTATTGAGTTTTCTAGAGATTATTACCCTATTATTAATATGGTTTTAGTAGAGTTTTTAGCTAAAATTTTCCCTTATCTTTAAGGGTAAGTCTATTATATGACCCTGAGCACCTACTCTCCTTTAACTTTGCTAATGTTGAGCAGTTTTAGCCTATCTAAAAAAATTCAAACAGAGAATCCTAATATAAATAGAAGATGCATGGGTCTTTGTCATCAGTGGTGAAAAAAGAGACATTGACCGGACTATTCTTCTTCTTTGAATACCAATTCCATTTTTCCCAAATTGTTTAAACTCATCAAGGCCACATCTTCCTTCAATTGCTGCTATGCATGCCATTTGCCTTTAGTAACAACTTTAACTTTGCCTTCTGTCATTTTTTTCTTCCAAAGTTTGATTGAAACAAAATAGAAGAGGAACACATAAAAGGGAACTAAAAACACTGTCAGGAAATACCATAACAGATCATGCAGCTGTAAAGGAGGAGATTGTATCCTTCTACAAAAGCTTAATGGGAACTAGTGCACATGTACTTCCTGCTGTGGACAAGATGGTAATGAGGGAAGGACCAACCTTAACACAGCAACAACAACAAGACCTGATTGCTGAAGTTACTAGACAAAAGATAGATGAAGCTCTGAAGGGAATAGGAAGTGATAAAGCACCGGGCATAGATGGATACAATGCAGAATTCTTCAAGAAAGCATGGCCATTGATCAAAGAAGAAGTGTATGCTGCAGTGAAAGAATTTTTCTACACAGGGGTGATGTTTCCAGCAATCAACTGCACTACTATCACTTTTCTGCCAAAAATTCCTAATCCAGTAACAATTAAGGATTTCAGGCCTATTGCTTGATGCACTGTGTTATAAAAGCTTATCTTAAAGTCATAGCCGGTAGATTACAGAAGATCATGCCGTACATCATATCTGAAGCCCAAGCAGGGTTCATCCCAGGGAGGAAAATAGCAGATAACATCATTCTTGCTCATGAGCTAGTTAAGGCCTATAGCAGGAAACATATATCTCCTAGATGTATGATGAAGGTTGACATGATGAAAGCATATGACTCAGTTGAATGGGTGTATTTGGAACAACTGTTAGAATATCTATGCTTTCCCACAAAATTCAATAACTGGGTGAGAGCTTGTGTATCATCAGTGAGCTATTCAGTCATGATAAATAGGGAGAAAGCCTTTTGAAGCTACTAAAGGACTCAGGCAGGGTGATCCCATATCACCATTTCTATTTGCAATTGCAATGGAATGCCTAAGCAGGCTGCTCAAAGGATTGAAACATGTTAAGGAATACAGGTATCACCCTAGATGTGGTAAGCTGGATATAACTCACCTCAGCTTTGAAGATGACCTACTGATGTTTGCTAGGGGTGATAGTAAGTTTGTCTCCACTTTACATGCTTGTTTTATGCAGTTTTCTGCTGCATCTGGACTGCTAGCTAATCCCAATAAGAGTGCAATCTATTTTGGAGGAGTTGCTCAGGATACTAGACAGGAAATTCTACAGCAGACTGGATACTTACTTGGGGAGTTACCTTTCAAATATCTGGGCATCCCACTGGATACAAAGAAGCTATCAACTATGCAATGTCAACCACTGATTGACAGAATAGTTGCAAGGATTTCCTCTTGGACAGCTCGAAAACTATCTAATGCTGGAAGGGTGCAGTTAGTCCAAACAGTGATATTTGGTATCCAATCTTACTGGTCCCAAATATTTATTCTACCAGCTAAAGTGATGAATCTAATAGAGTCATATTGCAGAAGCTATATATGGTCTGGCTCTAATACAATTACAAAGAGAACTTTGATAGCATGGGATAGAATGTGCTTACCTAAATCTGCTGGAGGGTATAATGTGCTGAATATCAGAGTGTGGAATAAAGCTGCTATCACTAAAGTATATTGGGATCTGGCACAGAAGAAAGACAAAATGTGGATAAAATGAATCCACACATACTACATAAAAGGGCAAAGCATAGTGGAGATGAATATACCCCAACAGGCAAGTTGGATGGTGAGAAAGATCACGGAGGCAAGAGAGGTGATTCAACAAATGCCTACAGTACAATACAGGCAGAGTAGTATCAAGCAAATTTACTTAGGCATTTTGGGAAATTACAGCAAGGTGACATGGAGAACTTAAATGTTCCACAATGAAGCTAGGCCCAAAGCAAGATTCACTATGTGGATGCAATGTCATGGGAGATTACTGACAACAGATAGGCTTGCAAACTGGGGAATTCAAGTAAGTTCAAGATGCTGCTTATGCAATGGAGCAGATGAATCACATGCACATCTGTTTGGTGAATGCAGGTTTGCTAAAACAGTATGGGAAAAGCTTATGCAATGGATACGAATTCATGTGAATTCAATGCAATCTTATAATCAGATGATGGCATGGGTAGTAACACAAGCTAAGGGGAAATCATGTAAAGCCAGAATAATGAAAATGGTATATGCAGAATACATATATGGGATATGGAGGGAGAGAAACAGTAGAATATTTGAAGAGAGAACGAGGACTGCAGATCAAATAGCAAGAGAAGTGGCATGTGTTTGCAATATTAGAGCTCAAGGAGGAATGAGGGCACAAATGCAGCAACTTATGTTTTGAAAACAATGTAGTAACTAACCAGCCTCTTGTATAGTTTTCTTATGTACTGCTCATACTATAGGATAGAGTTAGAATTATGTAAAGATTAAGTGAGTCGAGGATGACTCTACTGTTTTGTAATGACTTCTTTGGTGATTAATGGAAAATATAATTACCAAAAAAAAATATTAATTTTTTAGCATCGCCAGATTAATGAGGAATGGTCGATGAGCTTTTGATCTACAGTGAATTTATCAAATCAAGCGACAAGGACATGGTGTATATACTTTGAACTTGCTCTTTCCCGTAAACTACACGTCTACACGTATTAACTCAATCTATATTTGAAAGCTCACCTAACTCTTTGTTTGAAAAGTTTGAAACAAAATGATACAAAAAAGAACTCTTATGATTCACTATATCGGTTCCGCAGAATTTGAGTACCGAAAGTTTCTTTATTCAATTAACTTAGTGAAACTACCGTTAGTTTTTTGGTCTTCTTTTGGGTCTTTATGTTAAATCTAAGTTTAGCATACTTAAAGGACAATAGGTACTTAGGGTAATGAATAAAGGACAAAGTTAGACCTACCCCACAAGACAAGGGATAATTTGACTAAAAACTTGGTTTTGGTACATATAGCTAAAAAAATTCTTTCTCTCTGATTTAAGAAGAAATAAAAATAAGGATGTTTTTGAAAAAATACAAGAAAAATTTAAAAAATATTTCTTTTCAATTTCTCCTATTTACCTAATTGGTGCTTTTTCAAATCAAGCTATTAAGATGTCTAATTGTCACCAATTAGTCAGTGCGTTGTACACTTATAGTGAGATTGAAAAAACTGAAATTTTAGATATATATTCTTGTATGAACAAGCTAGATAATTATTTATAGAAATTATATAATTATTATGCAAATTTAATATACAGTGCTGCTAATGTTGTAGGAAATGTTAACCCAACTCTTTCATGTAGTTCTACTTCAACATGTGCTACTATAGATGAAGATGATGGCCTTGATAGTTTTAGAATTTGGTCCTACATTTTTTTCTATTCAAACCAGCAGCAGGAATATTGATGAACTTTAATTCTACTTACAAAAGCAAATGGATCCCCGCACAAAGGAATTTTTACCATTGGCATGGTGAAAGAAAAATGAAAAGCAGTTTTCCATTTTTTTGGCAATGGCTCGGGACGTGCTAAATGTGCCAATTTCAACCATCACATCAGAGAGCGCATTTAGTCAAGCAAGACGTCAATTAGGAGACAGACATCACTCATTATGAAGCAACACTTAGGAAGTGCTAGTATGTTTAAGAGATTGGATTAGATCGGAACAAAAAAATTAAGGACATGAAGATATTGATAAAACGGAGGACGAGGAACTTAGAAAAATATTGACGAATGGTAACCCATCTAAATTAAACGCCCTAGAAGATAGCCACAAAGTTCATATTGACTATGAAGAACTTACTAGGACAATGCAAATGCCACGACTCAAAATCCACTAGTCGTGATGACACCTAACCCAACCCGCTAGGTAAGCCAAACAACAATTACACAATTCCAATGAAGATAAATAAGAACTCATCAAGTGAAATAATTGAACTTCTATATATTAACCCATGGATTGGTAATACAAGTCGTGAGCCGATAAGACTTTGGTATGAAAATGTCACAACCCAAAATTCCCCTAGCCGTGATGGTACCTAACCCAAACCCGCTAGGTAAGCCAAATAACAATCAACATAATTTTATTTAAATTTATATGAAGTCAATAAGCGAAATAACTAAATTTCTAACAATAACCCAAGGATTTTGTAGTACAAGTCATGAGCCTTTAAGAATTAGATTTACAAAACTGATATAAAAATATACAATATCTGTTTGAAGCATACATAAACAGAATTTAAGTCCTACACTACCCTGAATAAGAGGTAGCTTGAGTCTGAAACACTAGATCGTCTTCAATACCAGGCTTCGCCTTCCACAACTATGTAGCTCCAAGATCTGCACACAAAGTGCAGAAGTGTAACATGAGTACAACCGAGCCCATGCACTCAGTAAGTATCTTAACTCACCTCAATGAAGTAGTGATGAGGTTTTAAGTCAAAAGATACCCACTCAATATTTAACCTACGTAGATGATTAGCAAAAAGAGCGATACAAGAAAGAGATACAAATAACCATGTAGTAAATGAAATGAGAACACAAATAACAGAGGTCCCCAGAATATCGCCACGTCTCAGTCTCATAACATAATATGATAACAGAAAACAATAGGCAAGAATAACCATAATTCGTCTTCTCCGTTATGGCGTGCAACCCAATCCGTAAATATATATATATATATATATATATATATATATATATATATATATATATATATATATATATATATATATATATATATATATATAAAGAAAATGCCTTGTACGTTGCAGCGCGCAACCCGATCCACAATTATATACATAAATTGTCTTCTCCATTGCGACGTGCAATCCGATCCACAATATGTATCATAATAATATTGTTGCGGCGTACAACCCGATCTAAAATATATAGTATAAATACCGTTGCGGCATGCAACCCGACCCCATATATCATACCAATACTGTTGTGATGTACAACCCAATCACACACATATAGTATCATCTCTGTTGCGGTGTGCAACCCGATCTACAAATAAATATATATATATATATATACAAATTCATATGTAACTATTCTACAACAATCGAGCATAGAAAATTTACAATGTAATATCAAGAAAACTAACATGCAAAGATAAAGTAGGAATACAAACTCAACAAACAAGATGAGCAACATAGCATCACTGAGCTAGTGTCCCACATATAAAGGCAAGGCTTCCCCAAAACATAAACACACAACCAATCTAAGTGTCACCCAATCGGGTTAAGTAAAGGGAAGTAGAACATGAAACGAATAAGGATGTTTTCAAGTAAGAACATGGATAAAATGAAGACATTCAATATAAATGAAATCATGTAGCAAGTAGAAGCTTGTAGCTAAGTGAAGTCATCTAACAAGTAAAAATTTATTGTAAGTGAAGACATGTAGTAAGTGAGGCATGTAGTTAGTGAAGACATGTAGCAGGTTAAGGCATCTAACAAGTAAATCACGTGATAATTAGAGACATGTAAAAAGTATGTGGTAATAACAAGTAAAGGCAATAAATTCAAAGAGGACATGTAGCAGAAATAAATCAAGTAAAAGCGTAGGTACACATTAATAGACAAGGTAAAGATATAGCTATAAAAGTATAAGGGCAAAGGGAAATCATTGAGGTAACTACGTAAGGAACTCAAATGGAAAGTATCATAGAAAACAGCAAAAATTAATAGAAACCAAAGAAAAAGGGCCATGTAAGTACTACACGAATGAGTAATCATAAAAAAAATCCAACTTCCTTTTCTTTCGCACGATAATAACCAACAAACCAATCTCATTCCAAACTGCATGGAAATAACTCTCGTGCCAAACATAGCCCTAAGGCCCTAATCCTCACACATATTACGGATAAAGAAACTCAGGCAGCAAGACAATATCAGGTATGAATGACTGTTCATGATGCTACGGTCAGTTAAGTTTACCAACAATCCAAAAACAACATATTAAATTCTTTTTAGGACGACATATGTTCTAACATGATTTCTAACACATTTAATTGAATTCATTAATTATAGAATTAAATAAATCATAAGTTAAAGGATCACCAAGTTGCTTTCCCCCCTCTGAGTATGGAAACCCTGTCATGCATATATGCTCGTCACCTCGTATATGAATCACCCCTACATGTAGCAAATACTATCATTTAGTACCAAACGCTAGGCAAGCCACTTACTTCAAACAAGCCTTCGATACACTAAAAGTGCCATCTCGCTCAAATAAACCTTGAATGGCTCGAAAGTAGCCAAAAGCAACTCAAAATCATCAAATAATGCCATAGGAAGCAAACACAAATGATAAAGGTAAAATCTTTAATCAAATACTTAAAGTCAACCAAAAAGTCAACCTGGGCCCGCACCTCAAAATCTGATAAAACTCACAAATTCCGATAATTCATTATAATACAAGTCCAACCATACTAATTCCACTCAAATCACTCCGAATTGATGTTCAAATATCAAATATTCACTTTAAAAAAGTTTAGTAAAAAATCCCAGTTTCTCTTTTAGATTCATCTAATTAAAGGCCAAAATCAAAGATGGAATCATGTAAAATAGTTAAAATCAAGTCAAAAATACTTATCCCAATCCATGTGGTGAAAATCCTCTCCAAAATATTCGTGCTGTATAACTCAAAAATATGATAAAATAACCAAAACCTTCGAA